CCCAAAGGTATATATTATCTTTATACTTGCTTTTAACGTCAAATCTATCTATAATTAATATAAATTATCAATACTTCATTGTTATGTGGGGAGTGTAAGTTTCTCCCTCCCCCCACCCCCTCATGCATGTGTCCACATACACGTGCACACACATCACAGAGACATACACAAAGGCCTACACATTCAACTTATACATAAAACACATGAGGCAGAAATTATCATGACTTCAGAAAATAAAGAACTTGAAAATTGACACTTTTATTCCTAAATTATTTCTTTACTGACCCTACTAAATAGTAAATATTGGTGATGTCTCAAAGGAAAATTTAAAATATTTGATCCACTTCTACTTTCTGGCTTGATAGAAATACTATGCAACTGTGAGTTACAGAAAACAGAAGAGCTGCCTTTCTTCACAACTCCGATTTTTCCATAGATGAAAGATTTAAGAATTAAACTAAATCATCTTCAAAGTGTAAAAGTTCACTTAGTTTTGGAGTTTTTACTTGTAGGGCATCTCTGCCAGTAGTCATCTTCATGAAGAACTCGGAGAATAGAGCATTTGTGGACTTAGCAATCTGCTTCAATGTCAGTTAATGTGGTTAATAACAGAGGCAGACCTCATCTGCACTAGGTTCGACAATTATAGCCTGTCTATAAAGTTTTGCTGCCAGTATTTGTTTTCTTTATAATCTGTGTATTAAAAATTACTTAGTACTCAGTACCTTATTTTACAACAAGCACTTGGATAAGGAAGAAATTATTAAGATAAAAAAAAAAGAATAGAAAATTACAGATAGGACAATGTAGGTCTCTAAGAAGGGCTTTAAAGTAGTATTGAATTGGGGTGCCTGGGTGGCTCAGTCGTTAAGCGTCTGCCTTTGACTCAGGTCATGATCCCAGAGTCCTGGGATCGAGCCCCACATCGAGCCCCACTTCGGGCTCCCTGCTCCGCGGGAGGCCTGCTTCTCCCTCTCCCACTCCCCTCACTTGTGTTCCCTCTCTCTCCCTGTCTCTCTGTCAAATAAATAAATAAAATATTTTAAAAAATAAAAAAATAAAAAAAAAATAGGGGCGCCTGGGTGGCTCAGTCGTTAAGCGTCTGTCTTCAGCTCAGGTCGTGATCCCGGGGTCCTGGGATCGAGCCCCACGTCGGGCTCCCTGCTCCGCGGGAAGCCTGCTTCTCCCTCTCACACTCCCCTTGCTTGTGTTCCCTCTCTCGCTGCCTCTCTCTCTGTCAAATAAATAAATAAAATCTTTAAAAAAAAAAAAATTTAAAAATTTAAAAAATAAAGTAGTATTGAATTGAAGGGGGCATTATTAGATAGCAAAGTAGCCAGCTTTATATATAAGAAATGCAAGAATCAAAAGTTTATCTTAAAAGCATATTAAAAGGAACAACCTTCCTTCTGTTCCAAATGTACTCATCATCAAAAAGAAAAGTTATTATTGATTATCATTTGTTTTCCACTACCCTCTTTTTAAAAGTAAATTATGGCATTACAGTTCTAAGTTTCCGCTAATGAATAATCATGTCAGTTGTCACTCAATTATCACTTTCAACATTTAATCTAAATTATGTACAGCACCTTGTGTTTTTTTTCTTTCTTTGAAGTTCCTTGTTGAATTTAAAAGTCAAATTTTTTTCTTCAAGAAAACTAAGTTGATGGAAGATGGAGGCTGAGATTAAATCAGGGAGAATCATTGATCAAGGATACTTGGAATTCTTATGAATACAAATAGCCTATCAAGGTTAATGAGGTTCAACTCAAGTTTAGAAGAAGAAAAAAAATGTACTTAGTATTTTCTATGCATATACAGATTTAGGGTTTTAGGTACAATTTGAAAGGTAAATTATGCAAACCCAAACTCAGCTTTCATTCTGGTTTTTTACAAGCTATTTTCACTGTTTTTCTCCAGTGTAAAACAACTGCTTAAAACATATACTCTGGATCAACAAAAACTAATGCAATTAGTGAGAAAGAGCAAGGGTCCCCTTGAATACTGACCGACAACTCTCCCAGAAATTAATGTGCTTTTAAAGAATGACCAGACAACAAATGTTAGCTTTGAAAACTAACCATAAAAGTGTTCTACAATTCACTATTTCAGTCAACAAATACTAATATGGGTAAGACACTATCGGGGCACAAAGAAATACAGAGATAAGACCTGGTTCTTAACCCATACTCATTTATGATTTGAAGAAAGATATACGTATTTAATTCATAAGTGGCTTCCAGAATGCCACAAGTTTGATTTACAACATCATCGTGTACTGGTAAACGACCCAGAACAAAATCTGTGCATAGCAACATATTAAAAGAAAATGCAAACAGAAGGTTGAGCATCAGAGTGGAAGCAGAGAAGATTGTTAGAAAGACAAAAGAAGTCAGTTCAACACACTCCAAAAATAAAAACAGAATCTGGTGAAATAAATAGATCCCTGGTTACAAGGACTCTGTTAAAGAGAGGTAGAGGGTGGGAGAGCCTTACCATAGCCAGGAACAAACAGTCCTTTACACATCAGTATTCTCTGACTGTGTTCACCAAGCAACTTCTTGGTTACTAATTCACCTTTCTAAAACCTAGGTATAGAAAATTGGGTGACTTGATGCTCTGCATACAACTGTTTAAATATCCATATAGAGCCCCCACAGGGTACATCAATGAGCTGGCACTCTTTTATATACTGTTCTCTGATGGGTTTCCTTGTTAGTATGAATGTCTCCTGGGCCACATTAATTCTAGGACACAGAAAATTCAAGTTTCCAGATGTGAAGACAAGACTGAAACACAAGGTCTTCACCAAGGTAAGGACATCGAGGTCAGATTTGTCTTAGTGACAGGGCAGCTTTCTTCTGCAGTCCCCTATCTCCTTCATTTCAATTCATTTTGAAATTTTAAAGACATATACCTATATACTTTAAGGCAGTGTGAGAAAGGTGCCATAAGAGTATTAGTGATGTGAGTGAAAGGATGGGGTATAGAAGGAAGGATTATCACATGTAGAAGCTATAGCCAAAGAAGGCTTCAGGAAGGAAAAGGCTTAGGATTTCCACAAAAAGAGGACCTTACAGAATCAGTGAACAACGGGAATAAAGTCAAAAAAATGGAAATGAGTAGGAGTTTAAGAAAAAATGAGTTAAGTGCTCACTTCGGCAGCACATATACTAAAATTGGAACAATACAGAGAAGATTAGCATGGCCCCTGCACAAGGATGACACACAAATTCGTGAAGCGTTCCACATTTAAAAAAAAAAAGAAAAAATGAGTTGACAAGACTGGGTATAAGGTTTTGTAGGAAAGGTGTTAGGAAGTTAAAGAGAAAGAGACTAGTGATTGAACAAACCACAAGAAAGAGTATTATGGCAAATGTTTTGGGGCCTGACCAATTAGTCACATTTTGTGCATGTTTTCTTATTTACATTTGGTTTCTAAAAAGCAACTAAAGAAGATTAAACTTCATTATAGAATGTCTAAGGCAACACCAATTTTTTTTTTTAGAGAGAGAGAGCAAGCGCAAGTAGGGCAGAGGGAGAGAATCTTAAGCAGGCTCCATGCCCAGCGTGGAGCCCAACGTAGGGCTTGATCTCACGACCCTGAGATCATGACCCGAGACTAAACCAAGAGTCGACACTTAACCAACAGCCACCCAGATGACCCCAACACCAAATATTTTTGAAAACTAAAGCAGAAACTAAATGCTTGTCAATTAAATTTCAATCAAATACCCAACAGAAGTCACATTGAGTGATCCATGACCGATACCATCACAAAGTCTACGCTAGATGTCATTTTGAGAACAGCTTGGTGATGTTCAAAGGGCCTTCACAAGGTATGAAAAATAAGCTATAATCAGAAGTGTCACAAAATCTAAAACAATGGATATAAAATTTAATTAATTATTTTATTGTTAAAAATAAAGTCGGGGGGAAAATAAAACTAGTTAATGGGAATTTCTTCCAGAATAAAGAATGTCTTTGTAATACCTTTTTAATGGCAACTGGGAAAAAAATCTTTCATCCTCCAAAAGGAATTTGATCCAAATCTAAAATACATTTTCCACTGATGCACTGACAAGATGAAAGAGAAACTCAGACTGCAGTAACATTAAATATTTCCTTTGTATTATATAAAGTTAGGTATCTTTGGGGCGCCTGGGTGGCTCAGTTGGTTAAGCAACTGCCTTCGGCTCAGGTCATGATCCCGGAGTCCCGGGATCGAGTCCCGCATCAGGCTCACCCTGCTCAGCAGGGAGTCTGCTTCTCCCTCTGACCCTCCTCCCTCTCATTCTCTGTGTCTCATTCTCTCTCTTGCAAATAAATAAAATCTTAAAAAAAAAAAAAAAAATTTTAAAGTTAGGTATCTTTAACACCAATTTTCTACCTTTCATTATAATTTAGAAAATTCTTCAAATGTGGCACCTTATTACAATTAGAATACAACTTCACTAATAAAAACAGATAGAGAAGAGGACTGATACATATCTATTTCCAAATCTGTCATCCATGTTTGATATAATTTATATAATTATATTAGAATTAAGACATCTCCTTTTTATGAAGTTCTTTCTTTTGATTTTTAATATTTTTGGATAATTACCCCAATTCTGCCTCATGTAGAGCCGTGAGAGATTTAAAAACCTTTATGGTACCTTTTTTTGCTGTGCCTTCTGCCAGTTTCACCCCAAAATAAATGATAACTCACCATTCCTTCAAAGAAAGGCCCCATCTCTCTGAAGGAAGGGCTCAACTGCCACTATAACAAAAATGTTTTCAAGTTTAATAGGTTCCTGGCTTTAAGGTCCAAATGAAAGAGAAATGAATCCATAGACATCTCTATGTATAATTAAAGTAGTCATCTACATAACTTTACATTACATATACTCAAACTAGAGTTCATAAAATACTACAAAATTTCTATTAAAACTTCATTAAGCAATTCTCTGAAACAGAACTAAAGTCCTTTGAATACAACTTAAAAATAGCAAAGTCACCTCTATATGTGCTGCAAACTGTGCTTTCTCCTTGTCTTTTCGCTCCATGCACCGCTTCGCTTCCTCTAACTCAGATGCCATTGCACTGAAGTTCAGCTGCACCCTCAAATCTGACATCTGCTTCTCCAGATTCTCTTTTTCCTGCTCAACCCCTTGAAAGAGAAAATGTAAGGCTTGACAGTTGTTCTTTATTCACAGGAGAATGTACTTTGAAATGGTACAAAGCCTTGGTGTTCTAATATTCCAGCTAACATAACCCACTATTAACACTCAATAGACTTTTCAGAATTTGCCAGCCTATTGTTTCAAGTCTCACTCAGTATTCTAAAATATATACACTGATGTGTTATCCAATATTATTCCATTTTGATACTAAAACTTGAAATGTTAGCAGATTTCTAGTACAACTGAACTCAGGGAAATCCTACATATTTTTTCTTTAACTTTCCTTACATCTCTACCTCCAAACTCTAACACAGAAATACTGAAAGAATTTTCAACTGAGTTATACATTAACTGAAAGTTACTGAAGTTGACACACAAAATAATTCTTTCTTGCAAAATAAACAAATGATACTGTTAAATCTCTGTGTATGATCATTAACTAACTAATTCTGGAGACTACCACCTGAAATTATATCACTGAACAATATAGACAGACTTAGTATTTAATTCAACATACTTGGTCTGTGACGCCAGGACACTGTAACACCACCTTCTTCAAACATAAATAACACAAAAACCTTTTCTCAATTACCTTAAACTCCAAGAATAGAAACAAGACATATAAAATACTTCCTTGAGTCTAAGATGCCAAAAATTGGAACATATATTACCAATTTAACTATTTTTCTGGTAGTTTCCTTTCCAGGAAAGGAAAGGAAGGAAATGCTAGCAAATTAAATTTATACATCATTCATAAGACACATCTGAACTTAAGAGATATCAAAGTGTTCAAAATTGTACATCTTGTATGTACATGGATGGAAGAAGATACATAGGCATTTTAATAGCATGACAAAGGCAATGACAGACACTATACAGATATTTTACAGATACAGTTATCATACAGAAATAGTACAAAGGAGAGAGTGATTAACTCTATCTTGATGAAAAACTCAGGTAGGAAGAAACAGAAACTAAGTTAAAGAATGAATATAGACTCTCACCAAGCAAAAGAGATGGGGAGTTGGGGTGATAATTCAGAGAAAGGAAGAGACATAAAGCACAGAGGTACAATACTGGATTTAATATTCAGGTAGCTGCACACAGTACTTCCACATAGCTACCACATAAGAGGGAAGGAAGAAGGAGAGTCAGCAGGGTGTTTATACATTGCTAGAGAGCTTAGAAATTATCCTATAGATGAGGAATTAGCAAACATTTTCTGTAAAGGGTCAGAGAGTAAATATTTTAGGCTTATGATCTCTGTCACAACTACTCAACTCTGCCATTGTATTGCAAAAGTAACCTAGACAGTGAATAAATGAATGGGAATAGCTATATTCCAATAAAGCTTATTTACAAAAGTCTGGATTTGCCCCTTGGGCCATACTTTGCGCAGCCCTGCTAGGTTTCCAACCTGAAAATATGCATATTTGTTTATGTGTAAAAGTATGTATTCATTTTACAAATATATATTTTAAATTTTATATTTAGATAGGTATAAATATGCATATGTGTGTGCATATAACCTATCTCTAGAGTGTCTATCTTAATATATAGGCATACATTTCAGGATATATATTATTATACATACAAAGTAACAGGAATATATATTATATAAAATATGGAGATATTAATACATATGAATACATGTATTAATACATATACATAATTTGTGAAACATATATTTAATGTGGAAACATAATAATTTGATAAGTTTCATAATCTAGACACATATAAAATAATATGGATATATAAATATATACCTAGGTACACATACATACATATATATAACAAAACGTTTAGCAAAATTAAAATACTTAAAACATAAGGTATAAAATGTAAATCGTGTTACGAACACTCTCCTCTCATACCCAGGGGATTGTCTCATATGTTCCACTTTGAAGAACACTTGCCACTTGCTACAAACACGATGGGTCAGTACAGCATAGCAGTTAAGAGTTTGAGGAGTTCAGGTTTGGGGAGAAAGAGATTCAGGTCTGTTACTTCCCACAAATATGACCTTAGGCAATCTCTTTATTCTTCAGTCTTTTTTTTTTTCCTTATTCAAATGGAAATAAGACTAGTACCCTTCTTATAGTATAGTTATAAGAACTAAAGGAGATAACATAAAATGTGTAGCAAAATGCCTCATGTGTAGTAAGAACTCAATAACATATAACAAAACTTTTAAGCAAGAGTAACATGAATGGTTTGTGGCTTAGAAAGCATCCCTTTAGTAGCAGCAGTATAGAAGACAGATCACAGAGGAATAGAATAAGTTAAGACGGTAATACAAATGAGACAAAGCATGCCTAAACTGGGATAGTGGGAATAAAGAAGATGGGCCAAATTCAAGAAATACCAAGATCTATAAATAGAGAGGGACAAAGCAGATGGAGGAGAGAAGGAATAATTTCAGATGTTCTTTGTATTTTAGCCTTGGCTATTTGGATAAAAGATGGTGGCATCAATTGAAACAGGAAATAAAAACAGGTTTTGAGGAAAGGATGAATTCAGCTGTAAATCTGTTGACTGGGGCATTCTGTGGAATAGCACATGAAGATGTCCAATGAGAGGCTCCAACTGGGGGACTGAAGATTAGTGGACTTAAGATTTAGGGATCATCATTACAGGTGATAGCTAAAGCATAAGATTTAAATAACAACCTCTAGGGAGAACTATTAAGTGAGAAACCCCATAAAGAGGATTCTAGACAACACCCGGCATTTAAAAGACAAGCTGTGAACAAAGGGAAAAGATTCAAATGAAAAGAATGAAAACAAGGAACTCAGAAGAACCAGGAAAGAGTAGAAACACAGAAGTCAGTGAAGAGTTCCAAGAAGGAAGAGGGAAAAACAGGGGTCAAGTAAGAAAAGTAATACCATGATTCCTTTGAATTTGACTGAGAAGACTACTAGTAAAGTAAAGCAAAGTCAATTTCATTTTTTATGTTTTTAAAGATTTATTTATTTGACGGAGAAAGAGAGAGCACAAGCAGGGGGAGTGGCAGAGGGAGAAGCAGACTCCCCGCAGAGCAGAGAGCCAGATGTGGGGCGGGATCCCAGACCTTGAGATCATGACCTTAGCCGAAGGCAGATGCTTAACCGACTGAGCCACCCAGGCACCCCAGCAAAGTGGATTTTAAAAGCAGATGTGGACGTTATTTTGCAATGGATGGAGGAATGAACAGCAACAGTGTGTGACTATGAATGTGAATTCTTGGGCAGATTTTTTTAAAAAAATAATACAATTATTCTATAAAGATGAAAATTTTAGAACCATTAAGAGAAGGTGAAGAAGTTCATTATGATATTGATATGAGAACTTTCAGATTTTTTTTAAACCTGGTAAGTAGTTAAGAAAAGTGACATTCTTCTAGTCCTCAAAGACTTACACCAAGAATAACTAGATTTTTTATAAGGTGAGAAAACATGTAACAAATGTACCACAGTCTTTTTCCAAACAAAATAAGAGTTCTTATGTGCATCTTTATGCAAATTTGATGAATAATCAAAAACCTTAGGATTTTACTTTTAAAAATAAATTTTAAAATATTTGATGTCAAAATATATTTCAATTATAACATCACATGAAACTTAGGTGAACTTAATGGCATGCAATTATGTTAGGATAGGTATGTCAGCATTTGCCTAGTGAAGATTTTCTGACAATGTGGAAATTCTAACTTAGGCAACATACTGAGTTATGTGTAGGGAATCTGGGAAAATATTTATCTTCCCTGAATTTGATAGTACACCAAATGCTTACAAGAGTTTCTCCAATAATTTAGGCATTTGAGTAGGAAGCCTCATTACTGAAATAATTTACAAGCTCAACAATCTGGATTAGTCTATTAGAAACCATTATAAAATTTCAATGTTACCATTTCTGTTACAAGTAAACTTCCAAAAAGAAATACATCCAGACTCATTAAATTCCACAACCTAAATCAACATCACCACTAAAAAGGTATTCTAACATTTCTCAGACACAAAGTATTCCTAATCTACATAAAAAAAGCCAGTCATACGGTTCATGACCACTTCTGCCAGATGATTAATTTTTGTCATGGATCTCAATCACAAAAAAGACAGGATCTCAATTTTAATTGTTTGTACATAATTTCAAATTGGGATAAAAGAAAATGAAAACATAGGGGTATTGCCAATTTAAGTACAAGGACAAGTACACACACACATTTAGGCATGGAAATAAGAAGCTGGAAAAAATTCCACTACTAGCTTTGTTGGCTCTTTCTAGGAGAAAGCCCCATGAGATAAGCATGTCTGAAATGGGTTTAAAAATAAAGCAGAGGAGAGATTAAAATTAGATGCTAATATCAGCAATGAACAAGTGAAATTTGAAATTAAAAATAATACCATTTAAATTTGCATCCAAATACTTAAATATAAATCTAACAAAATCTATATGAGGAAAACTACAAAACTCTGATTAAAGAAATCATAGTTGAATGAAATAAATGGAGAGAAAGTTCATGTTCATGGGTAGGAAGATGCAATACTGCCAAATGTCAGTTCTTCCCAACCTGATCTACATATTCAATGCAATCCCAATCAAAATCCCAGCAAGTTATTTTGTAAATATCAACAAACTAATCCTAAAAATATATGGAGAGGCAAAGGATCCAGAACAGCCAATGCAATATTGAAGGAGAAGAACAAAGCTGGAAGACTAACACTATCCAACTTCAAGACACACCATAAAGCTACAATAATCAAGAGTATGGTACTAGCAAAAAAAAAAAAAAAAGACAAATACATCAGTGAAACAGAACAGAGGCCCAGAAATAAACCCACATCAAAATAGCCAACTGATCTCTGACAAAGAAGCAAAGACAATACAGTGGAGAAAAGGTTGTTTTCAACAAACAGTGTAGCGCTGGGTGCCTGGGTGGCTCAGTCGTTGGGCGTCTGCCTTCAGCTCGGGTCATGATCCCGGGGTCCTGGGATAGAGCCCCGCATCGGGCTCCCTGCTCAGCGGGAAGCCTGCTTCTCCCTCTCCCGCTCCCCCTACTTGTGTTCCCTCTCTCGCTGTGTCTCTCTCTGTCAAATAAATAAATAAAATTAAAAAAAATAGTGTAGTGCTGAACAACTGGACACCCACATGCAAAAAAATGAATCTAGATACAGACTTTTAGGCATGGAAATAAGAATTCCTTTTACAGGAGTTAATTCAAAATGGATCACAGACCCAAATATAAAACACAAAATTACAAAAATTTAGAAGACTGGAGAAATTGTGGATGACCTTGGGTTTGATGATGACTTTTTAGGTAGAAGAGCAGCATCATGATCCATGAAAGAAATAACTGATAAGCTGGACTTCATTAAAATTAAAACTTTTCAGTCTGCAAAAGACACCGTCCAGAGAATGAAAAGAAAAGCTACAGACTGAGAAATTATTTGCAAAGACAGGTGATAAAGGAGTGTTATCTAAAATATCAAGAGAGGGGCACCTGGGTGGCTCAGTCGTTAAGCCTCTGCCTTTGGCTCAGGTCATGATCCCAGGGCCCTGAATCGAGCCCCTTGTTGGGCTCCCTGCTCCAAGGGAAACCTGCTTCTCCCACTCCCATTCCCCCTGCCTGTGTTCTCTCTCTTGCTGTGTTTCTCTCTGTCAAATAAATAAATAAAATCTTTAAAAAGAAATAAAAAATATCAAGAGGACTCAAACTTCAACAAGAAGCCAACCAACCTGCCTAAAAAATGGGCCAAAGACCTTAATAAATATCTCATCAAAGATATACAGGTGGAAAATATGCATAATAAAAGATGCTCCACATCATATGTTATCAGGGAAATGTAAATTAAAACAAGATACCATTACATGGGGCGCCTGGGTGGCTCAGTTGGTTAAGCGACTGCCTTCGACTCAGGTCATGATCCCGGAGTCCCGGGATCGAGTCCCACGTCAGGCTCCCTGCTCAGCAGGGAGTCTGCTTCTCCCTCTGACCCTCCTCCCTCTCATGCTCTCTGTCTCTCATTCTCTCTCTCGCAAATAAATAAAATCTTAAAAAAAAAAAAAAAAAAAAAAAAAACAAGATACCATTACAAACCTATTAGAATAGCCAAAATCCAGAACACTTGACAACTGCAAATACTGACAAGAATGTGGAACAACAGGAACTCTCATTCATTGCTGGTGGGAATGAAGAAATGATACAGCCACTTTGAAAGACAGTTTGGAGGATTCTTACAAAACTAAATATACTCTTACCATACAATCCAGCAATCATATTCTTTGGTATTTATCCAAAGTAAATGAAAACTTATGTCCATACAAAAACCTATATACAGATGTTTGGTGTATAACAGCTTTACTCATAATTGCCTAATTTGAAAGCAACCAAATGACCTTCAGTAGGGGAATAGATAAATAAACTGTGGTACATTCAGACAATGCTAAAAAAAAAAAAAAAAAAAGAGCAAGCGAGAGAGAGAGAGAGAGAGAGAGCACTACCAAGCCATGAAAAGACATGGAGGAAACATAAAGGTATATTACTAAATGAAAGAAGCTAATCTGAAATGCTGTATGATTCAACTATATTAGATTCTGGAAAAAGTAAAGTATAGGGTCAGTAAAAAGATCTGGTTGCCAGTGGTTAGAGCAGAGAGGGGGATGAAAAGGTGGAGCACAAGGGATTTTTAAGACAGGGAAATTACTCTATGATACTGTAATGGTGCCTAACTGTCACTTATACATTGTCCAATCCCATAGAATACACAACACCAAGAGTGAATCCTAATGCAAACCACGGACTTTAAATGACAACGATGTGTCAAGGTAGGTACGTCAGTTATAACAAACACATTTCCAGTGAGGGGAAGTTGATCGTGGGGGAGGCTATGCATGTGTGGGAACAGGGAGCATACAGAATAATCTCTGTACCTTCTGCTCAATATTGCTGTAAACACAAAACTAAAAAATAAAGTCTGATAAAATATTGATGCTAAATTAGGATTAGCTTATTGAAAAACCTTGTAGTAGATCAAGAAATAAGATGACAAGAGCACAATGTATGAAATGCATTTCTGAAAATGGGAAGTATTTAAGAAAGATCAAAAAAAAACAAAAACCCCACACATTTACAAATCAGAATTATACCTCTCCTAAACCTCCAGTCATCTCCTTGTTCATCCTGTTGCTTGGACATCTGAGATACTTGATGTTGTAAACCCTTTCGATCACCTTCTGCTTTCATAAGTTGTGTACGGAGCTCTTCTACCTACATACATATTGTCAAAAATGACACTTTTATCAGTTTTAAATGCAGGAAAAGAATAATTGAACTTACAAATTATTTCAAATTATTTTTCTAGGGAAAAATATTACTTCTAATGGACTACTGTCAGCACAAGTTGAAGCCAAGTTAACCTCCTTGTTATGCCAAGCACAGTGGAATAGTCTCTTGCTCTATTTCTTTACTCCTCCCATTCCTTCCACAAAGAATGTCTTTTCCCCTTCTCTGTGTCTACTGGGACAAAGAATTTGACACACACACACACACACGCAAAAAAAAATCCTTTATTGTGAACTCAGTCCACTCTACTACTATTAACCCAAGCACCCCCATAACTGTTTTTATACTTTTCACTCCTCCTCTTTTATATGAATATGGTCTACTGATTGATAACCTGAAGTGAAAAGATCACAATTTAGCATATTTTAATATCAAAGTACTGTTCAAAATAAGAAATAAATGCTGCTGAATAAACTAGAAACTCCTTGAGGTCAGGGACTATGTTATTCATCATTTCTAAAGACTAGCAAATTGCCTAGCACATTTCAGATATGTCCCCAGTAATCATTAAACAAAATAGGAGTCTCAAAAAGACTCAGTTAAAGTCACAATGACAACCTGAACACAGTAATCTCTTACTTCAAAAGATGAGATCAGAAATCACAAGTCAGAGCTCAGGGGAAAAAAAAAAGGTCTGAACTCTGCCAACATTAATTCCGTTTTAAGAATGGTTGCAGAACAAAACCAGTGAACATTTTTAAAGGTTTTGTAAAATAGGTGTCATGGTGTATTTTCAGCACTAATTGTCAAAATGCTTAAGCATCTATGATGCCTGACATCTTCACCTACCTAGCAGACTACATAGCAACTTATGTAAGCCACAACTCAAAACAGAAAGGTACGAGTGCAGTTTATATCAAACACAGGCAGAGAGGCAGTTAGGGTATGTGCTATGGTGAGCGCTGTGAATTGTGTCAGATTGTTGAATCACAGATCTGTACCTCTGAAACAAATAATACATTATATGTTAAAAAAAAAAAAAGAAGAAGATAGCAGGAAGGGAAGAATGAAGGGGGGAAAATCGGAGGGGGAGATGAACCATGAGAGATGATGGACTCTAAGGAACAAACTAGGGGTTCTAGAGGGGAGGGGGGTGGGAGGATGGATTGGCCTGGTGATGGGTATTGAGGAGGGCATGTTCTGCATGGAGCACTGGGTGTTGTACGCAAATAATGAATCACGGAACACTGCATCAAAAACTAATGATGTATGGTGATTAACATAATAATAAAAAATTTTAAAAATAAAAAAAAAAATCTATATGCCCTTATCCAATGTATGTAAGATGACTATTTCAAGTTGCTGAACTTTAAACAGCAGAAGCACCAAACTCTCATTACAGGCTAATGGGTTGCAAAATGTTATGCTTTAAAATTAAGCTTTATCTTTGGTTAAAAGGGGCAGGTAGCAACTTGAAAACGTAAATATAAGACAATGCAAAGTAACCTGAATATGTAAAGGTCTGTTTCATGTATTTTACTTCTTCCTTCACTCCCCAGTGCCTCCTTGAATAAAATTAAGCCCCTGGGAAAATTTTATCTTACACATCCACTCTCATTTTTACACCGGTTATGCTAAGAGAGATAAATTCTAAACTGGAGCAGCAATCAGCAAGACACACCATCACAGTGGGAACTTGGTCCAGGGTTTTGTACCAGCTTTCTCTGACTCTTCCTGAAAGGATTTCATCTTTTGCTTATGTGTTTTAATATACATTCCTTAGGGGAAAAAAATTCTAGACCTAGGTGGGTTTTTTCTTCCTTTCGCAAAGACATTTAATAGAAAAGGGGACTCAATTCTGATTTAATTTAAAAGTAGATTATCTTAGCTTGCGTAGACTTACCTGATGCAGAAGTGTTTCTCTGCTGCTTTCTGACTGATTCAGTAACCTTCGGGATACCTCTAATTCCTGTTCAAGCTAGAGTTTCAACAAAGGATAAAGAAAAATGTCCAGTGGGGCAGAAAATAACTAAATTATTATGGGCATAGTTTAAGAGGAGAAAACTCGAGAACTTTTCAGAAGATATTTACAGCTAATATGAAAAAATATCTTGCTATCAAAACATATCAATGCCTCCATGAAAATAATGTTATTTGGATAACAAAAAGTGAACCAGACCAGACCTCAGGGGTTCAGTTCCCATCTCAACTATGACACTCTTTTCCTAGGTCTCCTTTCTGTCATCTCTAAAATAAGGCCTTTATATTAGACAAACTCCGAGATTCCTCCAGTTCTAAATCATTGTAATCTAAATTCCAAAGCAATTTTTTCCTTTAGTACATGTAATGTCATATTGAACTGAATTAGAATAAAAACTTGAAGGACCCAATGACTAAAGTATATTTCATCCAATTGGTGATTTTGTATATTCTTAATATTCCAACATTCCTAATATTTCCCAATATTCATAACATTCCTAAAATTTAAAAATACCTAATTTCAGAATAAGACACTTAAAATTTCCCTAATAATATAATCATAAGATAAATATTCACAGAAAATGTGCTAATTAGATGACAAAATACCTAAAAAGTTTGAATGTGTCTAGCTTACTACAAGTTGAAAATATAAAAGGATGTGAAGGGGAGAGGAATATGCCACCACCCTCCCCGCCCTGCCCAAAATATGCCTCTTTGGCATAAGGATTTTTTGAGCTGAAGGGAATCAAGACCCAACAGACTCAGGAAAAGCTTTTTACCTCTCCCTGAATTACATTAAAGAATTTAGAGAGGGAGTCTGTACCAGGAAGAGAGCTATTACCACAGATAAGTTTTTATATATGAAAGACTTATCTGTAAGACGAGGCAAACATTTGTTTATGAAACATTTGCTCCTCTCCTCTTCCTCTGAATTGTCTTTCTCCCCTTTGAAGCCCAAGACCTCTATCCCATTTCCTCAGCTCAGGATAGTATATAAGCCTCAACTGCCTGGCTGCCTTTGAGCTCATATTTTTATGCAGCTCCTATAAATACAATATCAGATTTGTTTTTCTCCTGTTAGTCTATTTTAGGTCAACTTAATTATTAGATCAGCCAAAGAACCTAGAAGAGTAAAGGGAAAATTACTTTTTCACCCCTACAGGTGGGACACATGTTTGTTAACATTCCTGAGATTACACATGCTAGACATGTTTCCATTTTGTAACAGGCTGTTTTGTGAAACCACAAATTTATATTAAGATATTATTTAGTGCTTAGATTTGTGATAGTTATCCTAAGTTATCATTTCACTTGACCAAACTACTACCTATATATTAGTCCTTTAAATATTGTCCATGGGGTAGGTATGGCTATCAAGGAGTAACATAAAGGGGCACTGTAGTTCTGTATCTTCACTGTGGTGACAGTAATGTGAATCTATACATGATACAACTTCATAGAACCACATACGTGAATGAGTGCACATAATGTTCGTGCAATCTGCATAAATTCTATGGATTGCACCAAAATCAATTTTTCAGTTTGGATATGGAAGGACAATTATGCAAAATGTTACCGCTGAGGGAAAGTGGGTGAAGGGCACATGTGACCTCTCTCTACATTTTGTCTTGCAACACCTTCTGAATCTATAACTATTTCAAAATACTTTTTAAATTTGGTTATATAAGTTTTTTAAAAAAAATTATACATGTGGCCAAGAAAGTATCATATTCTGACGAGATCGGGCGCGTTCAGGGTGGTATGGCCGTAGACGAAAGTATCATATTCTAAAAAAAAAGTAAACTATATATAGAATCACAGAATCCACACAAAATATTATCTCACTTGTCCTCTGGTTTCTCTGGGGAAATCAAGAGGGAAGGAATCACACTTCAGTCAAAATGTTTTCAAAATCTACCAAGGCCCATACTGGTTATGCTCCCTGGATAATACCAGCAGCCTCAACTCCTTAAGAGCAAGCACAATGGCCTGACACGACTTGCTCACCGTAATGGGAGCATGGATGCATCATTTAACTCGACATAGGTTGGTGAAATAAAAATCAAAGAGGTAATGGTAGATTTACAGAGTGATACAGAGGAGAGAACATCACATCAGGGGCAAATTTTCATTTTATCATTCATTACCTTGGGCTCATGCTTAAATTTATTCATTTGCAAACTGAGGAGAGTTGGCTGTCCTCTAAATGCCTAACATGCTAACAGGCTCTATAGATTCACAGACATGAATATAGGTCAAAAGTCCTTAATATTTAATGCGCCTACACCGATTTTCTATGATGAAAATGAATATATTCAAAAAACCCACCCTTTAAAGAACAGGTCTTTCCTAAATAACCCTGCAACAACGTCAAGCTTCCTAAGTGTTTCCCAGCAAGGAACGATAAAGTTCAACTGGCCTCTAGAAAGGGAGTAAGTAGCCAGGTGACAAGGTAGCAAATGACCTGTACATGTTTCCCAGAGCAAGCTGCAGGAATAGCAGAGCTATCAAACCAAGCGACTCCACATCAAAACATAAAGGCTTCACTGTGTTCTAACAAATGATCTCAGGGACAATTTTCAAGGCACTCAACAAGTATCACCGGCCCCATTTCAAAGAGCATTACTCTTTGAAAGATAACTTTCAAAATCTTACTTGACTCTTCTCAGTTTCGGTCTGTTTTAGCTTGTTTTTCATGACTCCCTCATTTTCATCTGCTTTAGCTTCTTGTTTCTTCAATGCCTAGAATGAAAGATACGAAAAAATATGTATTATTCCAAAATACATACAGAACTGAAAGACACTATTAGGATTTATTAATGAAAAGGGGGGAAGAAGAGGATTATGAGTTGTACAACATACACAAAGGAATTACAACCCTCTCATTCAGTGAAGTCCTAAGAACACTTCAGCAGTGATATATATTTTTGTATCAAATATAAAAAACTTCTTGATCTTCCTAATCAATTTCCACTTAGTTTCACTTTTTCCCATCTTTGGGTATTTTGTTACACATTTAGGGAGTGTAGACAGCTAACAGTTCTCTTGGAAACAAAGCTTACTGCCCGGTGAAATAATAGTATAAAAATCATTATCTGTTCAACCATTTAGACATAATAATAAAAATTAGCTCACTAATTTTTCAAATTCTGAAAAAATATCTTAAGATAGAAACATGCTTGTTGCATCATTATTACATGTATGATGTTTTATCACTACACAGAACTGGCCCTTCAAACCATTCTTCACAAAGAGAAAAGAAAGCATTCTTTTCTACATTTGTCTCTCTTTAATAAAATGGAAAAAAGGAACTTAAAGAAAATTTGAATTTCAAAAGGTAACTAGAAAAATGTGTGTTTTGGTTTGCTCTACAGTGAAACAAAATTAAACTTAAGAAAAAATATATATACTTGGAGCAATCTTTCATGACATTTAAAAGGCATTCTATTTAAGAAAAATTTTGATAATTCTAGCATTTAGACTTAGCAAGGTATATGTGCAGAGGACATCCAAACTGAGAAAAGCCAAATGCCAGAGGTCTCCAACAAGATCTATGGTGCTCAACAGAAAAACAATTTTTAGACAAACAGCAAAACATGTTAAAAACTATTTTGATGCAGGGGCACCTGGGTGGCTCAGTCGGTTAAGCATTTGACTCTTGATTTTGGCTCAAGTCATGACCTCAGGATGGTGAGATCCAGCTCTACCTTGGATCTCTGTGTTCAGCAGGGAGTCTGCTACAGATTCTCTCTCTCCCCCTCTTCCTCTGCCCCCCCCCCCGCACATGTTCTCTAAAATAAATAAATCTTTAAAAAAAATTGTTTTGATGTAAATATAATCGATCATATTCAACTTCCTTAACTTACATATCCAACAAATAACTCCTAAGTGCATTTACTATGTGTCAGGCACCATGCTGGGGATACTAATATACATGCATATAAAATAACCATGGCCCCCTGTCAGGAAATTACAGCTCCCTCTGCCATGGCTCCAACTCTAATAAAAAGGAATTGAGTAAAAAGTCAGAGAGGCATCATCAAAATGAAAAATAATTTTGGTTTGAGTATAGTAATAATATTACAACACTTACAGCATTCACTATGTCCAGGCGTTCTTCTTCTTACATATTAAATACATTATATATATTGAACATATACACTTAATCTTTATTATGTGGGAAACAAAGGCAAAAGAAAATATTAGATTTGCTTACTACCTACAGCCCACTGACAAGTCCTTGTAACAGGCAGAGTGACATTCCTCTAGGAACTCAGCTGCCTCGATGTTAATGGTTTGCTAAGGGCAAAATGCAATCTTAGCTTAACATTATCCTCACCCCCAAGATCCTCTAAGTCTACTTTAACATATAAAAATTCCTTTGAAAACTTCCTTTATCTCTAGCCCCCAAGATATATGTTAGCAATCATCTTCCAAGCATACGACCCATCGATATACATCTGAAGGGTCTCATGACTGAGTTTTTACTAAACAGTAATAAATGACCTTTTCCAAAAATAAATAAATAAATAAATAAATGACCTTTTCCTAACAGTAGTCCCCTCATCAAGGCCCTGGAAATCTGCCTCCAAAATACCTCGGAGGTTTGTGCCATCCCTAACCCCCTCCCAATTTGAAAGTATATAATTGGCCACTCCTCATGATCCCTGTGCAGTTCTTTCCGCCCACGGGTCCTGTCCCTGTGCTTCAATAAAGCCACCCTTATGGGGGACCTGCGTGGCTCGGTTGGGCAACGGCCTTCAGCTCCGGTCATGATCCCAGGGTCCTGGGATTGGCCCGCAACGGGCTCCTTGCTCTGCAGGGAGCATGCTTCTCCCTTTCCCTCTGCCTGCCACTCCTCTGCCTGCCTGTGCTCTATCAAATAAATAAATAAAATCTTAAAAAAAAAAAAAAAAACCCTTTTGCACCAAAGAGATCTCAAGAATTCTTTCTTGGCCGTCAGCTCTGAACCCCAACATTTCAAACCACATCATTTATAAATCCATAAGTTATTATTAAGCCAATTTTATTAAGAGGGAAAGTGGGGTACAAGTAGTTGAATCGTACTGCTTTTCAGGTAGTTATCAAATGATTTTGATGTTTGGTATCTGTCCTTTCTTGTAGGGTAAGTGGAATTTGTAATAATATTTAATTCTATATGCATAATCTATTCAAGGATGTGTTTATAAATTTTGCCTGCACTAAATTACCCTAGAAACCTGAAACTGACTGCAGGCATCTTTATTCTTTCCATGACGCTTTCCCCAGCCAACATGCGTGTGTAAGAGAATGAAAAGATAAAAGATGTTGTTGCTACATTTTTTAATCATTTCATAAAGTTTTGAACTATTTCACTTCTCAACATCATCATTTCAACCTAGCCCCATTTTGTTTTAAATGAGTTAAACTTAATTGGTTATCTTTTCAATATTTTTTCATTGAGCTAAAAACCAGCCTGGGCTTTTTCCATGGTGGGGGTGGGGGGTTATTACAAGGAAGACTTCCTCTGGCAGCTGGTAAGTTTAATTAAACTATAAATAGCCTCTGATTCTGGATTCAAACTCCTGAGCAGAAGCCACTCCAATTCAAAAGGAAAATTAAGCTCCACTTCCCTGTGGAGGGAAAATATCAAAAAACGTGTGGTGCTATGTTAAAAACCACTAAAGTAATTAACACTTATTTTGGTAGATACTTTGAGACTATACAAATATCCTTAAAGTTTCACCTACCAATTTTAGTTCAAAGCCAGAGCAAAGATAACACACACTATCAGGCCTTTTTTAGTCTACAAAATTTTCCCCCACCAAACCTTGTAATCTAATGCCACCCAGATTCCTAGTAAATTAACTCAGAGGTCAGTTCCTACCAGTACGTGGAACGCTAAAACTCTCTGCATTTACCCCAAGATAACTTGCTTACCCCCAAAACACTAATAAGTGATCTGGAATTTATATAAAACTATTATAGATCGATGGAATACACTCCTCAAAGCCCCACCAAACACTGGCTGTTCTCTTAATTCTCTTGGGCTACCTCCCTGTCCCCTTACATCTTGTCCATCCTCATTGTTTACTTTCTTTGCACCTTCTGGACCTTCCCCACAACCTTCTAAAACTCCCTCTCCAGGTTCTGCAGAGCAGTTTGCCTCTATTCCAGTATTCAATTTTGAACAGTTATGCTTGTAAACACACCCAACACCCCTACTTCCCTGACCCTGTGAAGACTTATCAGTTACCAGAATTCATTCCCCCCAAAAGGGCAATGTGAGAAATTATTTTTATGCTCATACTAATAGATATTTAATCTTCATTTTTTATAATTAGTATAAATATTAATAATTTTACTTGATGTTAAAGAAATAGAAATCAATAAGCTGAACTTTAATTAAACAAATTGTGTTTTAGAACATGGAATTATACCTTACAATAACATAATTCTTCAGAAAGTCAACTTTTTTTTAAAATCCTAATTTCCATATATGAGCTAGTTGAATAAAAGAACCTCTAATTCTTTTGGATACCTAGAAATCTGCAAAAAAAAAAAATGTCCTTTCCTCATTACTTTCTACCTTCAACATCTGACCAGTTATTTATAATATCGCTTTTCCAAATAATATACTTTTCTACTATAGTTGTACTTTGGTGCCCAAAATCTTATTTAATACCCCCCCTTTTTTTTTCTCCTTTTACTCTAAGGATATATAAGTCTTAGAAAAATTTAGTCGATGAGAACTTAAATTCTATTGTTTTCAGTAGAGGAGCCAAAGTGAGGTCTAAAGGAGCAACCCAAAGCAAATAACTCTATATCCACCATATCATCTAGAAATGTCATTAAGTTTGAGCATTATTTCTGCTTCCTACAGACCATCAGTCAGTAAACAAGTAAACACACATGCAATATCTAGCCCAGAATACTGAACATATTTTCTACATTAGCTAGTTTAAAATGAAAGACAAAGAAAATCTAACTCTTAAGACCTAGTAAAAACATATTAATGCACTTTTAACTTCTGAAAACACGAATAACACTCAAGGAGAAAGACTTTAAAAACTGAATCCCCAAAATCACAAGCTATTTCTTTAAACCTTAATAATAAACTTTAATCTACTATCTTTTTAAGTGTATGAGGCTGCACTATATTTCTTTTCCATTTGCCTTAGATCAAGCAATGAGAATTATATTAAAACTGACCCAGTAGAAGCAGTTATAAAAAGAGAAAAAAAATCACATGCCAATGAATTTCTATTATTATGTTATTTTGCTTTTTAAAGTGTGGGTTTTTTTTTTCCCCTAAAAGCAGTTTAGCTATAAAGCTATCATGTGCCCTGCTCCAGGATTCAGATTGTCTTTTACACATTTAAGATTACGGCAACAACACTGAGCCTTAATAGTGCGTCCCTGGAGCACATTTAAATCTTTAATAACAACAATTTTTCTTCTTTTCCTTAAGTGTGCCTATTTCCATTAAAAAGACTAACATACTGAGTATTATACTACTGTAGTTCTTTAGAGGTAGAGGATTCTGAATTCTCATGGTTACATATATTTTTTTAAAAAAAGCAGCCTTTTCCTTTAGAAAGTAAAGGAAAGGAGAAAAGGAAGATGTTTGTAGACATCTCATCTGACCATAAAAACTCCCACAACTTTGACAGGAGGCATATTTATCAAGAGGCTCTAAAAAATAACACACTCAAAAAATAAAGAATAGGGAATTAAAGGCCCTTTGTCTACTGAAAAGGGAC